TGTTAACAGAGTAAAAGCATCTAATGGGCAACTAATCCCTTGCATAACTGACTGGATTGATAGCTCAGCAAGGCTACTGTAACAAGCAAATAATAAATGTATAATGAGCTGTTTCTGATTCTCTAATCAGGCTCATTTGACTCATTCTAGAGAAGATATTCAGAGTACTATTAGTATGAGCTGGATCAAGGCTGTGTAAGAAGAGAATTGGAGCTGAGGAGTCTTTTGTGCTGTTATACTTAGAAATTTGCTGGGAGTATGTTATTGAGTACAACCAGCAAACAGGATGACCAGTACTTCAGCAACATTTAAAGAGGATGCTCTGCATCAACAAAGAGGCTTCACAGTCCACCAGGGTTTGCTTGTTCAGGTGTAAACCTGAGCCTGAGAACAAAAATCTTTTGGTAAGAAACATGCTTGGGATGGTGTTCAGTTCACAGAGCACATGAAAAACCAGCACTCACCCAGAAAGTGAAAACACAAGTGTCATCTGGCTCCTGTGTAAGGAACTCTTCAGAAGCAGCTGATTTCACTTTTTTTAATCTTTACTTAAGGCTTTTTCACATCTCTGGGAAGCTGCAATTCATAACTTCCCCTGATCCTGACCAGAGAAATAAGCTCATCCCTCACTTATCAAGGTGCTAATAGTTTCTTACAGCAGCACTGTGGAAATCACAAATCCTCTGGATTTGCAGACTGTTTGGTGACTGTCTGATGCTGGCCAAGAGAACTGCTTGGAGTTAAGGAGAGGGCTAATCCAGCAAATCACAGTGCAAAGATCAAATACACAAAAATGGTTGTTAAAAACACATAACAATGGTTGTTACTGTGCTTGTAGCACACTGAAGAAGTATTTGCTTATTTTTTGTTATCTATAGCTCGGATGAAGCTGCTTTTCCTGTTCATGCATGTACTGAGCCCTTTGATTTCTATGACACTGTGATTTCCTTGCTTTGCCCCTTGGAAACTTTTCCCTAATTGTTCTGTGCAGCTTAGCAACCTGAAACCACCTGTATAGCATGAGCCTGTCTCAGGCACATAATTCTTTCCCCAGTCCCCATGCTCATTTTTAATTCATAATTTATTGCTTTTTTATGTTTAAGTGCTGACTGCTCCTTTGGACTGGTCTGGCTTTGCCTTTGGATTTTGCTGGACACGATGTTCATGAGGGGGTTAATATGGAAGTCTGTTCCATGTGTAGCTTTCCATAGGGTCATGACTCACTGAAGTCAGACAGATGAGGCAGCTGGGCTGGGACCTGCATCACCTACAGCAGGTTACATGGCTGTTTTAGCAGGCAGCCCTCTGGGCTGGGATGTTCAGGTCAGGAAGGAAGAATTGCCCTCAGGTGGCCCCAGTGTCTCCCAGGGACCACAGAGGGATCCTGGACTAAGGTTCACCTGATTCCCAGACAGCTAAATTAGAGAGAATGGATCCCATTGCAAGCACCATGGAGCTTCAGGTGCTCTGTGGTTTAAGCAAGATATTTAATTGTGGGTATGTTATCAGCACTCTTGCCTTCAGTGCTGAAACACCTGGTTTCATGCTCTCATCATGCCCTGGGTGGCAGCACCACAAGCAAAGTGGGGAGAGGTTTAAGGCAACAGGCTCCAACCTGCAGGTCTAAAATTACAGAATTATGTATTTCTTCTTCAAAGGAGCTCCTGGACCTTCTCAGGGGCTGCACAGGCAGAGGGGCAGGTCTGGCATGACCAGCCACTGTGCCTTAGTGTGACTGAGGTGGAAAAGAGGAAAACTTTCTAATGAGGGCAGGAAAGGAATTCTGCATATCAAGAAACTTCAGCTGCTTGTGCTTGGAAGATTACTCTGCTGTTTCTAAACTTTCACACACTCCCCCCCAAACAACCAGTCTGTTTTGATAGCAGCTGCTTAGAAAATGAGCTTTTCTGGGAGAAGTATGGGAATGTTGGGCAGTGAGGGACTGACCTCATTTCCAGCACACATCAGCACTCAGCCTGGCAGGGCTCTGTGGAGCTCTCTGTAAGATATACAGCCATTTCCCTGGCTTTTCTCAAAATGCCAATAAGGGCACAACTTGCCTCCAGTAGAGCCTGATGCAGCTGCATATGCTGCTCCCCACCCCAGGACTGCCCTGGCTCCTGAGAGCTGCTGTGGACAGGGTGACAGATGGATGAATTGTGCCAACAACAGGGCTTTTTTTCTCTCTAAATGTGTCTTTTTGCTTTCTTCTAAGGAGTGTGTGCATGAGGGCAGAGGGGAAGATGATGATGCTGATCTGGCTGGGAGAGTCACTGCTTCTCCTTTCACCATGGTAACGAGGAGGAATTTGTATGCAGTGGGGATGGGCAAGTTTGTAGTATTTTGCTGGGGGAAGTGGAGGCTTTTTCTTGTGAAAACTCCTTGGTCAAGGGGAGCAGAGGAGGAAATTCCCTTTTCAGTAGAACCCTGCAATTCTTTGCTTGGCAGAGGCAGAATGGTGCTATCCTCAGCAGGTGCAGGATTCTGTCAGTGCTAAAATAATAACTGAGAGTAAGAAGTTGCCCCTGTGAGATGAGGGACACCTCCTTCCTCCTCTTAATTTGCTGTTTCCAGGTCTTTTGAAGGAGCACACACACATATAGGACCACAGTGGTCAGACTCTATTTACAGTCTAGCGGGGTTTCCACCAAATTTCCAGTCTATTCAATCTCCTCATTTTATAATCTTTCTTTCCCTCCTTCTCATTTTCCTTCATTATTTTGAAATCTGCCCTCCAGCCTAGCCCCAAACACTGCTGGATAAAGGTTTGCCATTTGGAAAGGCTGCCAGGGCTGTGTGCCCGTGGCAGCACCTGGGGTAGGAGGCTGTGTGATGGCCTGTGTGTCACCCATCCCAGGCACCTTCACCTCGGAGGAGAGGGAGAGGTCACTCCCAGCACCCCTGGACTGGGATAACAGGGATCCCTGGGCTTGGAGAGCTGCAAGTGGGGCCAGGATGGAGGTGGCAGGTGAATTCACAGCTGGGCACTGCTGTTGTGACTTTGCTTTCAGTACTAAAACATGTGGGAGGGAAGGTTAAACACAGCATGACAAATGCTCTGTGGTGGTCATCCCACTGGACCTTTGCAGAAACAAGTCACCAAGGCCAGAACCTCCCCACAGTTGTCCTTTAACCACTGGTGGCATCACCTGGGAGCATCATGGCCAGGGCTGAGATGCTGCTCCCACTGGATTTGTGCCAGACCAGCAATCCCAGGTGAGTTTATTGTGCAATAAATCACAGCTTTTTTTTTTCAAAGTATCCCCCATCCTCCCCCCTTTTCCTCAGTTTTGCTTTCCTGCACTGCATCCTGCACAGTTCCCTTGCACTGGCAAAGGAGGGTATCCAGCTGCAAAGATTTAATAGCACAAACACCTTCTACAATTAAAAATGCTTCATTGACTGGGACAGGGCTCTGTGCTCTGGGGAGAGCACTGCCAAGCAGTTAGACATGTGGTTTTACAAAAATTACAGCTAAAATATGAGGCAGTTTAGGTTTTTACTACTCAACAGTCATCTCCCCTTTACACTATTTGTCCTCTGGAGCTGTGTAGAAATCGACTCTCTCCCTGGTCTGCAGCCACTCTTTTGTGTTGGCAGCAGCTCTAATTATGCACCAATTAACCTTAATTAAACCAATTCCTGTGTAACTGCACATGCAGACAATGCACTGAACAAATGGCCTGACAAATATTGTCACTTAAAAGGCTCAAAACCACATCAAATCCTTAATTGGAAAGTCAGATTGTAAATTGCTGCGGATTTGTAGCTCTTTGTTCCTAAAACGATTGAACAGGAGTAGTGGCCAAATATCCCGAATGGTCCCAAAACCTTGGCTGAATTAATTTTCTTTGCTGTTGAGGCCAAAATATGTTATTTGTGTAGGAAAAGGGGGTGATGGAGCATCCTTAATTGTAGCAACTGTCAGGCTAGTCTAGAGTGTATCAGAATAGTGACTCCAGGTAGAGAGCCACCAAGTTCCCCTTCTAGATCCTGGGTGGCTCAGGGCAAATTTCTGGATTATTTGACGATTCCTGCTGTCCTCTGCCTGGATGTTTGTCCAGAAAATGCTCCCAAAAGCTGGATCTGTCCCTCATGTCATGCAATGGAGCAGCAGTTTTGTTGGAAGCGGGATGCTGTTTGCACCCTGTAAGCAGTAACACAGCCAACAGATGGTGCTCGTACATACAGTTACTCCAGGTTTCTTCCCAAAAATGCCAAGCCAGCTTTCTGCATTTTAGGATGCAGGTTGGTTGTTTGGGGTTTTTTAGGGAGCTGCTGCAAACAGCACAGTTTTTACCCTAATTTCCCTGTGCAGAACGAGCCTCTGGGACTGCTGGTGTGTGGACAGAGTCCTTGCCAAAGGAATTGAATGCCTCCAGTTTGGCACTTTATCAAAGTTTGGTAAGGGAAAAAGAGCTGGACTGAGAAAAAGTCCAGGCTCTGCATCACTTATTTGTCCTCCAGTTGGGAAAAAAAAAAAAAAGACCTTGAGACTGGTTTGCAGCAGAGTAGCAAAGAAAAAAAAGTCATAACTAGCACTGAATTCAGAATTTTCCCTTCCCTGCTGTTCAGAAAATGTGTTTAGTGGGGGAAAAAAAAAAAGCCTTTCAAATCCTTTAATATGTATTGACTTTCTGGTGGTTCAGCTTTATGCTGCTGAATGCTTTCCTTTCTGTAGCTAATCAAACAGGCTGTAGGCACGGCACTTTGTGGGAAAATATTCTGCCTGGTGAATACAGCAAATAAAAGCAGAGCTAATTAAGCATGTAAATCATGCCCATATAAATTAGTTACTAACACGTTCACTTGGCCACTGGCGCTGAGTGCGGTGGGAAGGGGGATTCACACCACCCGTGTGCCTGCTGTGAGGGACCACGTGGGAAAGGAGACATATGGCTATGGACACACCTAGGGTGGTGGGATTGTGGTGGGATGACGGTTGGGAGCTGAGGGTGGGATGGATGGTGGCAGATGCTGGGGGAACTCAAGCCAGGGGTGGGGACAAAGATTAACCAGCCACCGAGTGGCTCCGTTTATGAAGTGATGTGACCCCATCCATCACTTACTGAAGCAGATGGAAACACTTCTTTGGGATGAGACTTTGTAGAAATGTTTCCCAGCAGGCGTAGAAGCAAGCTGGCTGCACACTGGAGAAAACAACTGGGAGGTGGCCCACCAGGGAGTAGAACTTGGGACGAATGACCTGGTGTGAGGAAGAGAGGAAGAGGCATGAAAAACCTTTTCCTAATGAGGTAACAACAGAAAATATGTTTTGGCAGCTGGACAGGTCTGTGAAAACCCAGGCAAAATATAAATGGGGTAAGAATTGCTGCCAGGCTTGGGGACAGTGCTATTCCCAGATTTGTGTGCAGAACTAAGATTTTTTTTGTCCAGGAGCATGATCTTTTTCCTTCAAAGCCACCCATCAGCCTTCACAGGGTGGTGAGGAGTCCCTGGCATGTGCAGGAGGGCACAGAGGAGGTTCCTGGGAGCTGTGGTGGCTCTCCATCTCCCCCACATTCTCATGAAACCTGGACAGACATAGAAAGATCTTGAAAAGCACCCAAGGGCATCCAACTCACTTTTCATCAAGGAGAGCAGAACGGGCACCTGGATGGCACCCAGGGAGGCCACAGGGATGGGGGCAGATGGCTGAGCAGGCTCTGGGCTCCAGGGACAGAGGAAGGTGCTTCTGCAGAGCAAAGGCTGGGTGGGAAGCCACAGACAGCTGGCTAAAAAATGCCAAATGCTGAGCTGTTCCTGGTTTATTTATTTATTTTGTTATTTAATTTCTTAAAAAGTAAAAATTGTCCAGACATCTTGCAAGATCTGGGGCAATGGGATTAAAAAGCATATATTATCACTCCCACTTTTTTGAAAGCAAGAGTCTGCAGGTATCTTCTGAGAGCAGGGTTCCCTTTTCCAGATGTGCTAAGCTGACCTTAGCTGCATCAAGCCCAGGAATCATCCCCTGCTCACCAGGACTTGGGTCCAGGTTGTCTTCTGCAGCCAGTGCCATGTCCTTTTCCACCTGGAAAGTACCTTCTTTGGCTCCAGCAGCAACTCATCCCCCTTCTTGGAGCTGGACCAGTGGGCAACCACAGACAGGAGTGGCCCCAAGACAAAGGAGGAGGAAGCTTGTAATCCAATGGTTGGACCATTCCCTGGCTGGCTTCAAGTGTGTGCTGCCTGGACACTCCATTTGTTGTTTTGCACCTCACTGGAAGGGGATGAGAGCTAATGGTCCCTGCAAGGACATCAGTGTGAGCACTGGGGACAAACTGTGCTATGAGACTAAAATGGCTTTTTTCCCTTGTCTGCCATCGTTGAAGGATTTTTCTGTGACAAACTCTTGAGCACTAATAGACCGTCTGGTAGCAGTGGAAGAAGTAGCAGTGTAATTTCTCGTAGCTCTGGGCAAAATCATTTATATTAAAATTAAAAACCACAGGAGCTCATTTACAAATTTTTGCCAACTGAAGCTCAGAAGACACAAGGAAGAGACTCCTCAGAAGCTTACTTCAACCACAGATCCCAACAGGAGAGGATCCAGCACTGCAGTGACAAGATCCATGCACCAGTGTGGGATTCAAATGGAGTCAACTTCACTGCAAATCAAGTTGTCAGGCAAGTCCCCCAGTATCTCTTTCCCTCCCACAGCACAGTCTCCACACTATCATTGCTTCAGGCATCTCTAGCCTGCCCATCTCCTGCTGAAGTCATTTAAAGGAGTGCCAAACATGCCAGCCCGAATGTGTCACCCTCACCTTGCACCTCAGCGCCCTCAAAAAAATTCCTGGTGCCTTCAGCAGAAGTCTGTGGATGAGCAGAGAAGGGAAGGTGCTGGCAGTGACTACAGGCTGTTTGGTGTTGAGTCCCAGGCCAGGGATCTGCAGTCCACAATTACGAGCTGAAGGAAAAACCTGAGGAGCAAATGCCTTCCCCAAAGTTACCCGCTGTTCCCAGGTGGGGGGTGGGAGTGATGTTCCCCTGGCTACACCGAGACCTGAAATTCTCCTATTCTGGAACAGATATCTCAGGTCACCTTGAGGAAGGTATTTAATCTCCCAGTGTGTCCATTCCCCAAATGAAAGACAGAAATAGCAGCACTGCCTTCCTTCCAGCGGAGTAAGTGCATTAAAGATTGCGAGGTGATGGGAGCCCTGGAAGGGTCTCGATGGAAAAGATTCATTTGAATACATTTGTTGTGCATTACTCACTCAGCCCCGAGTTTTAATCTTCTCCTCCTCTCCATCATTGTAATCTAAATTTCCTTGAGCTCTCTCACTGGAGCTCAGTCCCAGTTTAATCCCCGCCTCATTTGAGTGATTTCTCCAATTTCTCCTTCAGCAAATGGTGAGGCTTATGTTAGCCCTCATCTCTCCTCTCAGTCTATCACAGGAGAGCTGTGAATGCTCCCTCCACAGGGAGCACCAGTGGTTTATTTGGGAGCTTGTGCAACTTCCCGGAATAATTTCTCTTCTGTTTTTCCAGTCTAGTGACTTGTGGTTCACAGCCTTTTCCAGACCTGCTGAACCATCTCGTGTTGGGGGGGTTGGAAGGCAGTTTTCCAACAAAGCAGCAGCAGCAGCCTGCCATTCCTCCTCACTCCCATGGGATGTTTTGATCCGGGCAGAGGCATGTGGGGCACTCCTTGCTCATGCTGATAGAAGTGCTGTGTTTTGCAGAGGTAAGATGGGCAAACAGCATCATAAAATCATGGAATGCTTTGGGATGGGAAGGACCTTAAAGACCACCTGGTTTCACTCCCCCAACCACAGGCAGGGACACTTTCCTCTAGACCAGGTTACTCAAAGCCTGGCCTTGAACAATCCCAGGGATGGGGCATCTACAATTTCAGTGCAACGTTGGGCCGCTTTTGCCTTGTTAAATTCCAGCTTTCTTTACTATTTTTTCCAGCAGGATTATTTGTTACTCTATTAGCAAACAAGTCCTGGCTCACAAAGGCAGAAATGTGCAGGAGGCATATAATTCCCAATTTATTAGCTTGGTTCACATGATGTTATCAAGAATTGATGGTAATGCTTAGTGGCATTAGCAGTGCCTTCCCTATCATAACAGTGGTATTTACTGCCAGGAACACTATTTGTGCAGCAGTTGTGCTACACCACAAATAATTATATTACTTACATCCAATTTGTATCATTACACACAACACAACTGTGCCTGCCTGCACCATCTCATACTTCACTAATGCCTGAGGCAGAGCAGCATCACATAAATACCCTCCTTGGCACTTCTCATTTGAAATTATATTCCACTTATTATTAAAGTGTAGATCAAAAATGACATTTCCCGAGTATTAAAAAAAATACAGAAAGAAAAGTCGCCGCCGTATTAATAAAGAGCACCAAATAAAATTCATCGCTCTGAAAATGTTCGCTCTACAAATTTTTAGGAGACGCTGTCAGGTTTGGTAAACCCTCAATATGACAAATCTCATTTTCCTGCATTTCTCTGCAAGTTTCCAGCAATTCTGTGTGTCCTCGACATGACGAAATGCTTAAGAGAGTTTTAGAAAGCAGTGAAAATTCAGTTATTTATGTGCGGCTCTGCGATACGAGGGCAGCACCATCGTGTGCCTCTGCTCTGTTTTTAGCATGACCCTGACACAGCATCCCCTGAACAGGCTGTGAATAACACTGCAGAGAGGTGACAGTCTCTGTAAGTTAGAATAACTTGGCCAATGGTCTCTCCAAGAGGGTCTTGGGTTCCCCAGAAACCCCACACAGCCCTTTGCATCCCACAGCTTACAGGGGCTGCTGAGGTATCCAATAAGCTTCTGCCTCTGGGAGCAGCTGCTGCATGGCTAGAGCTGAAATTCCCTTCAGAGCTCCTCATAAAGGCTGTTTAGAAAAAGGCTGGCTGTGAAAACAGGCTGAGAGAGCTGGAGTTGTTCATCTTGGAGAAGAGAAGGCTCTAGGAAAACCTTAGAGCCCCTTCCAGTATCAAAGGGGAGCTGGAGAGGGATTTTTTACAAGAACATGTAGTGGTAGGACGAGGGGGAATGGCTTCAAACTGACAGAGGGCAGGTTTAGATTAGATATTAGGAAGAAATTCTTCACTGTGAGGGTGGTGAGGCCCTGGCACAGGTTGCCCAGAGAAGCTGTGGATGCCCCATCCCTGAAAGTGTCCAAGGCCAGGCTGGATGGGGCTCTGATCTAGAAACCTGATCTAGTGGAAGGTGTCCCTGCCCATGGCAGAGGGTATTGGAACTAGATGGTCTTTAAGGTCTCTTCCATCCCAAACCATTCCATGATTCTATGAGAAGGTCCTATGTAACCTATCTCCATACAGGAGGAGCAGATAGTAACAAATAATGTCATGGGACATTTCACCACATGAACATTAAGTGTCTTTAACTTTGGAAGTTTTCTGCATGGGATCTACCCCAGCAACAGAGCACAATCCTTGTCATTTCATTGAAACTACAAAGACACTCCAGAGAAACCTGCCAACATCTAAAAAACTCAACAATAAAAAAATACACCTTGACCCACAGAGCCAGACCTTGTTTGAGGAGGTTGTGTTATTCCAAAGGCTGTTAGTGACATGCCAAATGGGGTTAGATCACAAGAATACCTGGTAAGTGGTGTATATATCCAATAAAAGGTGTTTAAGAATTTCTTTTCCTAAAAGAGAGAGGTTGACATTCTGGCTGGGGTACTGATTGCAAACCATGGATGGTGGAGGCCAAGGTGGAAGAGCCACAGATGATAGAAGCAGAGAGATGCTGTGTTTTGAGCATGCTGCTCATACAGAGGCTGTATGCAATTGTTTCTACATTATTTAAGGAAAAACAGTTTGCAAAAAATCCTGTAATGGCACCAGATTTCTCTCTCCTCAGGAAAATAAATCCACAAGGTGTCAAATTCAAGTCACTTTTTTTGAAGCATTTCAGAGCACGTCATGTGACCTGTGCCATGCTGTGAGAAGGGATTTCTGGGAGGTTATTTGTAAAAGAAGATGCCAGGAGCTGAGGTCAATTGTCACCCCAGCTCATGGTGACAAACTCCTATTTGTGTCAGCAAGTGAACAGGGATATTGAAGTCCAACCCATGCCAAGGATTAAAGGTCAAGCCCACTTAGTCTTGTGAGACAGCTGTATCTGGAAGTTTTGGGGCAATTCAGAGGGGAATGAGATGGATTTAATTAAATTAAAAGACTTCTAGGCATTTCCAGGAAGCAGGACCATTTTCAGTATAGGATGAGGTGAGGAGGGCAGAATGCAGATGGAAAATATTTGTACGTATAATATTAAAGCACATGTGAATTACCTTTTTTGTGAGGCAGATACCAAGCACATAAAGACAAGACTTGGCCCATCTCTAACTTAGGGCACAGTTTAACAATAATAGAGATTTTTAACATATTCCTTGAAGAACTTTCTAATGGCAGTTGAAAGCCAGATGAAGCAGCTATTTTATCTGGCAAGCTTCCATGCAAAATTTCTTGCTGATGCTGGCTCAGACAGATGGAGGTTTGAGGGGAGGGGGGAGAACAAAATGCCATAGAGCTTTATGGGATGAGCCTTGAAAGGTTTCTGCAAGCTTCTATAGTAAGGTTTATGAACCTTGGGCTTGTTAACTTCAGTTTTGTGAAGTGTTTTAACCCTCCTTTATTTCCTGTGGTCCAGATGACACATTTACACATCCTCAGAAAGTGTATGGGATGCTCTTCAAACAATATGTGACTCTGCACCAGTAAGGGCAGAAACTTGATGGGTTTACCACAATATATAGAAGTTTTTCAATAACTGTGTATAAAGTGCTTTTCTTTTGAAATGTCTTCTCTGGTTAGATCATGCAAATCTAGTGCTGGCTGATGCTTCTGTAAGATGAAGAGTAAGAACAACTCATGAATATTTCATCCTTTGTCTCTGCACTGGTCAGAAATGGTAATTTGAGCTCCAAACTGTAGGGATTTAGCAAAAAGAGTTGGACACTCGGAGAATAAAGATAGGGAAAAAAAAATGTCTTTGACAGGATTTTCCCTTGTTAGTGCTGGTATGTAGACAAGCTGCCCAAAGGGCATGAAACTGGGATAATCTACTGAGGACACACATTTGGGCTGTGCTGCTGAAGCAATTCTTGATTTGCAATGCATTTAATAATAGTATTTTCTTTATTTACCTCTTTTTTCCCCCACAGAAAACAACTGCAAGCACTATGTCACCCAAGATAACAGGTAAAGCATCATACAGAAGACAGCCTTGGTCCTCCTTCACCTCAGGCTTGATGTGCATCAGCATCTCCTCATCTCCCTCAGGACATGAGCACTGCCAGGGAAGAACTGAGAAGGGGAACGTCAGCTAAGGGTGCATCAACCTTGATTCTCTTCTTAAGACTTCACTTACCTTTTGCCATTACCTTTTATAATGTTCATACCTTGCTCTCTTATATGCAACTGGCCATCCCATGAGAGATCCCAAAAAATTCAAAAGCAATGTTAATTGAATCATAGATCATAGAATGGTTTAGGTTGGAAGGGACCTTAAAGACCATCTAGTTCCAATACCCTCTGCCATGGGCAGGGACACCTTCCACTAGATCAGGTTTCTAGATCAGAGCCCCATCCAGCCTGGCCTTGGACACCTCCAGGGATGGGGCATCCACAGCTTCTCTGGGCAACCTGTGCCAGTGTTGTTCTTTGTAACCAGTGTGCACTAATAATTTGTAGACCAGCTTCAGCCTTTCCTGAATTTTAAGGGATCTGGGTTTGGGCCATGTTATATTAGGAGTGGGAAATACCCGAATTGCTCTATGTTCTGGCTTAGCACCACCGCTTGGCAAGTTGCTTTTTTCCCTGTACTGAGAAGTTCAGGTATTCTTTTCTTTTAGGAATATGGATGGAAATCCTCTTCTGCTGTTCACTCAACTCTGAAGCTCATGGAAATATTTTACAGTTCCAAGAAAATGGATGGTTACAATTTTTAAAATTACCATTTCTCCAAATTTCCAACTGGTTCCTTTCTCTGGTGCATTCCTCTAGCAAGAGGAGAGGGAGAGACCAGCCATAAGCAGATGAAACCTTTTCTTCCATAGCTCAGATGCCAACTCTCCATCTCCTCAGCACCCAGAGCAGGCTGTCTGTGCTGGACTCAGAGTTGTCTCATCAGACTTGCATTTCAGCATTGCCACCTGACATGTTATGACAAGCTTTTAACTTTTGAGCAGCGGTGCATGGAAACATGTCACTGCTTTGGGAGCAGCACAGCACAGGCTGCCAAATATAGCTCCTGCCTCAGTGGTGTCAGCCCCTCTGAGGCAGACACCCATCCCAGCCACGGCACCCCACGGGTGAAGAAGCCAGGACGCTTCAAGTGGCCTAAACGGACCCGAGGCAAACAATTTTCTGCATGACCTCCAACAAGTAAGAGACTGGGACCTAAGAAGGGAAGCTGGGGGGGTGTTTTTCAAGAAATTGGTGTTTATGGGTTTGCAGCACCAAGACTGTCTGTAAGAACCCTAAATGTGGACGTTGGAACTGGAAACTTCCCGTGGGGAACAGCTGGTCAACAGGGGACAGCATGGGCTCTGTTCATCTGTGCTTATTGCTACTGGTGGTGGAGGGGAAATGCAACATAATTCTGGAAAAATTCCCAGAGATTTATCTCTACTTCAGAGGGCTCAGCTGGTGAGAGCTGTGGAGCAGAAGCTGGTGCTGATTTCACAGTCTCTTAATGACTTGTTCCATGTTTACTCCCTTGCTGCTCTCTGTCCATTTAGGCACACTTGAGTGACACAGCAAAGAAGGCTTCTCAGAACAAATTGCCCCTGCTTTCCCAGCTGACCAGTGCATTGCTGTGGGTTGTTCTCTGCTGTGCTGCTGCAGTGGATCCGTTGTGCTCCGAGGAGATGGTCACCTTTAAAAGAGCTGGTTCCTGGTGGTGCCAAGCACCCCTCAGTGCTCAGCCCACACCATTGCTTCATCACAAGAAGTGACCACAGCAGGTAAGCAGCACTTTAACCACCTCTGTGAGCTCAGGGTGCACTTGGGAGATGCCTTCAGTGTTGACAGTGGCCATTCAAGTGTTGAGATATGCAGTTTCTAGAGGCGCTGAGCAGCTGAAGTTCACAGCCATTTTCTGGAACAGATTTCTCAGATAGGCTGTGAAGTCTCCCTCACTGGAGATGGAGGCAATCCTGTGCTATGTGCCTTAGGATGAGCCTGCTTGAGCAGGGAGATGGGACCAGATGACCCACCGTGGTCCCTTAATACCTGACTCATTCTGTGATTCTGTGATTCTCTGCATTAATGAGCACTCAGTACTTCTGAAAACCTGCATTAATTAGCCTCTTTGACATTTTAAACAACCTTTACCTTCACCTGAGAGTGCAACTGCAGTAATTAGAGCAGGCCAGCACTGAGGGAAAGCAGCGTGACCCAGTCTGTGTCCCTACAGCTGAGACTTCTTCACTCCTTCACCAGTGTGGCCTTACCCATGTGTGACCACAGTCTGAGAGTGAGTTGGCACAAGCCAAATCCAAGCTAGGGAGTGTCCTTGGCACAAAACCAGCCTTATATGACCCCCAAATAGGGCTTAGACCCTGGACATGTTCAACACAGGTGAGTTCTTGAAGATCAGGATGGGCCATGGGAAGCTGTGTGCTGCAAACCCCTCTATCCTTATGCAGCATGAAAAGGGGTGGGTTGGTCATTACCAGGTTCCAATGACAAACCCCAGGAAAAATCTCACTGCTTTGTTGCTCTCTGAATTTTCAGGAAGGAAAAATGTGGAAATTAATCCCTGCTCTCCCAGCACTCCCAAATCCATCATTGCAACGCTGCTGGCTTTCTCCCAGCCAAAGGCCAGCCACAATTATCTTCATTTTTAATGGGTTATGATGGGCTTTTCTGTGATTCATTTGAATACTCCTTGGGCCCAGCTCAATTTTCTACCAACATCAGTTCCAAGCCAGGCCTTGGAGTCATCTAATGAGGCCAAGAAGCTACAGAAAAATTTAGAGCAAACGGGAAAAAAGAAACTTTGGTGACAGGTCGCTCACAGTTTTGAAGAGCAAGAGCCATCCTCCCTGGCAGGCTGCCCTCTTCCTCCCTTCTCTCTGTAGTCTGTCCTACAACAATGGGAGATAACTCAGTGGCAGATCCCTCCCCTGGACTGATAAAAGGGGGTTTAATTTACCATTGTATTGTCTTGGCACTGCAGAGCAATATTAGAATGATGACTCTCCTCACACTCAATACACTTCCCAGCCTTATTTATAAACTTTAAAAAAAAAGGCAGTGAGGATTCGTTATCCTTTTGATGAAAATGGCACATATGTCTTGAAATTTCTCTTATTTAACACCCACAAATATTTTGTCTGATGCTCTATCTTCCATTAAAAAATTTTAAAAAGTGTAGTTTTCCTGAGGTTAACCTCCTGTTTTCTTAGGAAAAGAAAAATGAAAAAGCAAAATTATCACATCTGTAGATGGGAAAGCAGAGGCAAAATGAGGGCAAGAGACCTGTTCTGCAGAGCAGGAAAAAGATCACATCACTGATTATCACAGTAGTAATTTGATCACAAGTCCTTTAACTTTGAGGGCGGATTAGCTAATGATGCAATTAGCAAGGAAAATATCCATATTGCTGCTTGAAATGTGCTGGGCAAATCTGTCACTGATTTTGTTATGCATCTGTCTACCTACAGCAGGAATCAGTGCAGTTTAGAAAATCCTTTTTGCTTACCCATATCCTTTGAAGTTAAAAAAGAAAAAACACCTTCATGGGCTCTTTCCCTGAGCCCCAGCATCGAGGCCAGGGCAGGATGGACTTTGTTCTCATCAGCATGGTAGAAAAATATACATTTTTTTATTCTTATTTCCTGAAAGAAAAAAAATGGCTTTTTATATAAGGTTGCTCTGCCTTTTGTTTTGTCAGATTCTCCTCAAAAACTCCTGCATTCTTTGTCCAGTGTTGACCACGCTTGCTGGAAGCACTGAGGTCTCGGCAGTAATTATGTCCATATGAGTTTTGTGTAGTTTAGTCATAGATAGGAGAGGCAGGAGACAGTGCCTGAGGGAAGGAGCAAGCCTTGGCAAAAAGCCTTTGGAAATCTGGAAAAGTTGGGAGGGTCTGAAAACAAAGCAAAACCCAGAAAACAGAAGATGAGCCCAGCGTAGTGTCCATGCGTGGCTGGTGCCATTGCATTTGGCTGAGAAGGGCTCACCAGCAACTCCTGGGAATGATCTACTGGTGAGAAATATCCATCTACTGATTTTAAGAACCCATTAATGTTAGAAATTAGTCAAAGTGAGGAAAAGACAAACAAAAGTCAACCTTTTGTGTGATTCTGATAGCTCCAATTTCAGAGTTAGAAAAGGAGGGGTTTCATAGGTGTACAAATCTCCAAAACTTCTGAGGTCCAAGGGTTCCTCCTCTCAGTCTCAGCCTCTGTCTCCTGCAGGACAACTGGCTGGAGAGAGGCAAGGAGTGATTTTTATTTGTGATGCTTTTCACTGAACCATAATGGGAGGTGGTACAAGTGAGACCAGGAGGGTGGCGGCTCTTTGGTTTTGACTGACGCTCTCTGACAGCTGCCAAACCCCCCATAATTGGGGTTTCTAATTGGGACAGGGAAACAAATGCCTGTGTGCTAATCCTATTAGAGAGGAAGGCTTAAGCCTGGGTGTCTGTCAGCACCAACCTGTTCCCCCAGGCCTTGGTAGCACTGACTTCTTAGCCAAAGCTTCCTGCTGTGTATGAAGTATTGAGCAGAGCAAAGCCTGAGCTCTGCTGCTCAGGCTGGCTCCAGGACACAGAGGATGAGGTCACCAAGGTCACCATGTCATCACTGCCAGCCCAGGTATTAGAACAAGGAGGAGAGAGCTTGACTGTGCCTTCACCACAGCCCTGCCTTAGGACTGACTGCCAAAATGGAGCCGTGCCCTGCATGCCATTGTCTGCACCTCAGCACAGAGAGGACGTGCAAACCTGTTGAGGAAACTGCTATCTCCTGCCTGAAGTTTCCCTGGAAGCAGCCACTTTGGGAAGACTGCATTTGTTGTCCATCAGCTGCACCATGTCCTATGGGAATTTAAATACCCCAGATTTGGGTTGATCCTGAGCAGAGGCCAGTAAAGAGACATTACAGAGCAGATGGATCCAGGCAAAGCTGATTTGGAGAGCAGACATGTCTAACAGCATTTCATTTTCCACTACTAAAATTGCATGTTGACAGATTTCAAATTTCCAACTCCCAGTAGCCTGCTTGGAAGTGGTATGTCTTTATCAGACCAGTTATGGCCCTTCTGGAATGTGAGTCTCACTGGCTTCATCCAAACCTTGTGTTTGGAGTACATTCCTGATGAAAGCAAATTGGGCCTTTGGGGAAGGAGGGGCTGCAAAGCATTTCCTAAAGCACTTTCTACTTGCGTTGTGAGAAAATACACCTGAAGGATGAGGCAGGAATTAGGACTGAGACAAATGGGATTTTGGTGGGTCAATTCTACTTTGAGAATATAAGAAATGTAGCAAGCCCAAGTGATGAGCCTGAGGTAGCCAGAGGGTTTGACACAGAGGTTTCACCCTTCCAGAAATATAAGGCGTGAACTTAAAGCCACTGTTAATTTGCTGACATCTTTTTATTTCAGAAATGCCTTGGAGCTGTTTTCTTCAATCATTTTGGAATGCGAACCGAAAAAAAAGCCATTCAGGCTGAACCAGAGGGATAAACTGCCCATCTCCCCAGCGTAATAAATACCAGTTCAAACACAAATGAAATCATCTCTCGCCAGACAGAACCTACAAATGTTGTGCTGTAGACTTTCTGCTGCCACCCACACAAGAAGCCATCAGGCAGGAAATAAGGACATGAAAAACAGGTTCCTGCAGTAGTAAAGCAGAGCTGGTTTGATGGCTGACGCAGGATGACGCCAGCACCGAGCTCCGAGGAGGAAAGTGTAGATGCATCTGAGTCACCTTCCTCCTGGCACCATCAGCCTCGGTTTAAACATAAAATATTTTGTAGCTGTTGTTTCTACTGCTGAAATTCTTTCTCTGCAGAGATTTGGACACGTCTTGTGTGCGAATGGTATCAGCTGGGTTTGAGCTGCTGCTGGGGAAAGCACCGTCCTCACCCGTCTCAAGGTGTGGGATTTGGCTTGCCCAGGTGATGCTGCTGATGGATGTAGAGAGAGGGGATATAAAGAGGGGTTATAAATGCTCCCCCAGAGTTACAGCTGGGTGGTGTGGAGATGGTATAGGGTATCCTCTTCCCCTGCACAGCTTACTTCCAAGAAAGCTGCAGAGGATCTCTTTGTGGTTTCCTTCCCCATCATCTCCAGCTCCCCTTCGAAGTGTTTCATGGTGTCTGAATGCAGCCCTGTCTCTGGGAGGATGATGAAGTTCAAGGTGATGGCCTGCTCTAGCTAATGCCATGGGAGAGCTCAGGCTTCCCAGCCCTCCCTGCAAAGCCCACCAGCAGCATAGTCCTGGAGGAGCACAGCTTGCTGCTCCAGAGGGGAGTTTCCCAAAGGATACTAAGGCTCAGAGTTCTTGCAGGACTTCTTCAATGCCCCCTGGGGAAGTTGCTGCCTCAGAGAAGCTGGAGAGAGGAAAGGCTGTGCCGTGCAGCAAATGGCTGGGTAAGTGCTTGCTTTTGCCTTTCCTTAGCCTCAGTATCATGGACTTACCCTTAATTCCATAAAATAAATGGGCAGCGCCAGTTCTGCCCTGGAGCACCTTCTTCCTATGAAACAGGAGTCTTGATAAACCAGCTCTACAATCTCGTTAGGCCAGCAGTGAAAGCCTGCCAGGAGGGTGGCTGTGGGGAGCAGGGGAAGTGGAGACTCAAATATTCCTGTGTCTCCACCAACATACCTGAAAAATGAGAGGGGCTCATACAGACAAGCTGCCCTGAGTGGTGATGAAATCTAGTTCAGGCTAAGTGCAGAAGGCACTGGAAAAGCTGTAAGCCTTCTTGAAGGATCATTAGGGTAAAAAAAAAAAAACCCTCAAATTCATTGTTTAAAAGTAGAGAATTTGCTGGGAAACTTAAAATAACGTGTTTGTTATGGTTTTGGCTGAACTGAGTAACTAAAGTTCAAAGCAGGTGGTGTAACAAGGTGGAGGATCTCATGCTTATTTGCACCTGCTGTGCATTTGGCCCACTGCAGTAATGATGAAAAGAATGAAATGTAGTTTTTCGTGCTTTTCCCACCCCTGGGGCTTTGGAATGCTTTAGTAGATGTACAGTGAACAGCTGCAAAGCCAAACGTGTTCCTACCTGCCAGCCACTGCAAACTTGTGAAGTGAATGCCAAATTACCCCAAACTGGGACAATCTGCAGCAGATACAGAACAGAGTAGAGCAGGAAGAAAAGACCACAAAGCTTGGGGGTGAACAAACAGGTCTGACAGTAATAACTGTCGGAGCCAGTCTGAGTCGTTCTCCATCCCGTTTCTTAAATCTTGGCTTTCCTGGGATTGCCTGTGCCTCTGGTGACAGTGTAATGGGATGTAGGTGGTGGGAAGGTCACACTTCTGAAGGCTCATTTTGATCCAGTTGACGAAAAATTAAAAAATGAGTCTTACCCAGGGGCAAGGAAAAGTTAATTGGAGCAATGTGGTTTGTGTGCTACTCTGCCTCCAGACTGTAACTCACATCAAGGGCCATCTCCTGTGGTCACCTTTGCAGCAGGCACTGTGCTAGAGCAGGCTGCTTATAGCACTGACTCTGCAAGGGAGAGAGCCTGGCAAAGGATTGTCATCACGAAATGAGTTTTTCATCTCTGCTGAGCATATCTGGTGATGAGAGAAAAGTAATCATCTGCGGTATCAACCGTCCCTCTCTGCTGCTGGCAATGTGCCTCGTGCTTCTCGCATGTGACACCTTCTCCCGTGCTCTTCCCCCTCAGGAGGATGAAAAATGTATGTAATGTTTTACTGGGGACAGTGTAGTTTTTATTTAGGTATGATGCAGCTATTTCTGGAGCACATTCTGTTGATTTCTCACTTATTATGAGGTAGAAAGGTAAAATATCACTGGCACATCTTCATTCCCTTGGGATCCCTAGTGCTTGTGGTGTGGATAGAAAGGTTGGCAATGAGATTTCTAGCATAAAGCCTCAGAGTTGCTCTTGTGACTTGAGCTTGCAGGGAATGGATGGGCTTTGCAGTGCTTAACTGATTATAAAGCCTAGTGTTCCCAAAAATGGCATTAGGCTTTGGGAAGACTTGGTATGGCACAAAGCTGGCAGTGCCACCTCCAGCTCCCAGAAGAGTGTAACAACAGAGTCTATAAAAGACCTTTACTGGGTCAGGGAGAAGAGCTAGCATCTCACTGAAAAGCAGGGAATGATCCAGAAATGAGGCTGTCAACCTCCTAATATTGTTCCTTGGCCACAAATCAGTTGTTGGGATATTTCACACATGTATTTTTCCCAATATTTCTTTCTGGTGTCTTTTCAAACTTTTCTCCCTCATCTGTCTCACTGTTTGTAGCTGAATTTTTAGCTCAGGGTTCGTGGGGAAGCAGAGCTGGAGCCCCCAGGATGGTACCTTATGAGGCAGCTTTGCTTTAGCCAGGTCAAACATCTGAGTACCGCATCTTCCTTCCTTCAGCCAACCCTAAATTAACAGCCAGTACCCACCAGACCTAAAGGCAGATCATCTTGTATCAGCTCCCAGATACTTAACTGAATTAAACTGTTTGGCAGTGTCGTGCTCTGCCCTATTCCCTGAGATCTGTGCTTCTCAGTCCAGCTGTTTGGTCTGGCAAACATTAAGCTAATCCTAAAAATCCCTGCTTCTTAACAAGCAAAGTATGTGGCACCTAGATGGAAATTTAATGAGGGGATGCTAAGGAGCAAAGCTGACAGAGCAGTGACCTTTCCTCTGAGGTGAGCCAGACTGAGTCCATCCTGAGGCACTGGGATTAATGAACATATTGGTCCCAGCCAAAAGCAAATGGGCATTAGTTCTATCACAGGGCTGTTTTACTGGGATGTGAATTTCATAGTGCTGAAGTCTGAGCTCAAGAGAAGACTTGAGCTGAACCAGGACAAAGAATTATTGAATTATCTGCAATTCCTACCACAGGCACGTTCCGGGGTCAGGGCTGAAGCAATCTATCCGAGTGTGGAGCTGGCCACCTGATATTATTTAGCAAATAACTCATTCAAGAGGAGTAGGGGTTTTCTGTATTTATACAAGTTTGCAGCACAGAGTAATCTACATACATTATCCTGGGCTGCATCCAAAGCAGTGTGGGCAGCAGGCTGAGGAAGGGCATTCTCCCCCCTCTACTCCACTCAGGTGAGACCCCCCCCACCTGCAGTGCTGCATCCAGCTCTGGGGCCTTCTACATAAGGAGGATGTTGACCTGTTGGAGCAAGTCCATAGGAGGGTCACGAAGATGCTCCAAGGGCTGGAGCATCTCTCCTGCAAAGGCAGGATGAGAGCTGGGTTTGTTTAGACTGGAGAAAAGAAGGCTCCAGAGAGACCTTATAGCACCCCCCAGTACCTAAATGGGCTACAAGAGGGCTGAAGAGGGACTTTTTTTACATGGGCATATAGTGATAGGACGAGGAAGAATGTCTTTAAACTGACAGAGAGTATGTTTAGATTAGGTATTAGGAAGAAATTCTTTGCTGTGAGGATGGTGAGGCCCTGGCACAGGTTGCCCAGAGAAACTGTGGCTGCCCTGCCCCTGGAAGTGTTCAAGGCCAGGCTGGATGGGACTCTGAGCAACCTGGTCTAGTGGCAGGTGTCCCTGCCCATTGCACTGGGTTGGAATGAAATGGTCTTTAAGGTCTCCAATGCCAACTTTTCTATCATTCTATTATTTCAGTCAAAAGAAAAAACATAACAGCTTCTTTGTTAGTACAGCTTGAATGTACTTCTGAGCTTGACACCGGGAAAACAAGAGCAGGAGGTATCTCTGGAGGTTCCAGAGCTTCCTTGGTGGCTCCCTGCAAGGGGAAGCAATGCCACCAACAAACAAGGGTTGGGGGGAGTGGGGCATTGCGTGCCAAAAGAAAATAATTTAAAGAATAATAAAACCATTTTTAAAAAAGTCCAGCCTGGGACTTGAAGGGATAGAGGGGACAACATTGATAACAGAAGGCAACTTTGAGGTTAATGAGGTATAGTGTCAAAAGTAGAGGGATGAAGGAGGAAAGCAATGTAGATATTGGTCTTCGTGCACTGACTGAGCCTGGAAAAAGAGTACGGGGGGGGGAATGCTGGAGTTGCTGGGACAGAAGGGTGTTTATCTGAGTGTAGTCAGAATAGCCAAGTCTCCCTGCTCTTGGCTACGACTGCTGCAGCCCCATCAGCAGTCTGGCCTTGGTCCCTGTTGTTCCTGCCTTCTTGTAGCCATTCAATGGTAGCTGGGATTAACTTCTCAAAGTAGTTTAAAAATCGAATCTATGAACTTGGTGCACATTTAATATTGGCCTTGTAAGCCTGCTAATACTTGAAAAAATAATATCTAGAGCCTGCTTGTCTGGCATTGACTTCCATTGCTGGGACATCCATACCACAAAGGAGGTGACCCCTTGACAAGAACCTGTTCTTTTAGGGCCAGATGTTCTTAGGAGTTTACGATGAACCTTTATTTACTGCAGACCTTGTTGGGAGATGGCAAGAGATCAGACAAGAGGATCAGAATAGTCACCTTGGGCCTATTTGTCTTCCTGTGTGAGTAGTGATTATCTTCTCCATAAGCCTTTCCTGGCTTTAGGCTGGGTTTAAAAAAAAAAAAAAAAATCTCCAAAGCATCTAAGTTAATGAAATTACTGACACATTTAAGAAATAAAATTGCTCCATGTAGGGTCAAGTGAGTCAGTGCTCCGTGTCCTGGTGGATGGGGAAGGCGGTGGGGATGCTCTGGCACATTCCTGTCTGGGCAATGCCCGGGCACAGAAACTGCTTCAGTATTTCTCGAAGGCACTGAAGCGTGGCCTGTACACGGCTTCATGTTCTCAATGCCTAATTAAGCACGAGGTCCAAGGTTTTGTGGAGATGATCTACAGGTCTCTGTCTGAGCTGTACCACGTGCCTGTTTCTTTTAACAGGTTTTTAGCTCCGTAAACAAGTCACTTTAGTTTTATGTGCGTTAAAGGAAGTCGTTTAAGCGCAGCAGGGACTCCGTGGCAGGAGTAAGGGGATGTTTTTGGGCCTCACAAAGATTAATCTGCTCTTTCAAAGTGCTAATCCTTTCATCTAAGTTGCTGTGGGAATCCTAAACACCTTTCTATTGCACCCCATTACCCAGATATATAAATCTAGTCAGGGAAAAATCTCCTTCCAGCAGCGAGAAGTGAGTCATTTTTGGTGTGAGCAGAGTCCATGCAGGTTTGACACGAGTTTTCAGCAAGGTAACAGGAATTAAAGGGCACATCATGAGCTCATGAGACACCCGGATATCAGGATTCTAAATGCCACAGTGTAAATAATCTCTTACCACTCCATTAAATGAGAGACTTTCAGGGCATGCAGCTATTGTTAATGACTGCCTCCCTAATCCTGACTGTCACGGTGTGCTAATTCAAGGTCTCCTGGTGCTTTCTGCAGAACACCACTATTTTCCAGTTAGGACTGCCCAGGGAAAGGGTTGCTGGACTGAAATACACAGTGAGAGG